CTGGTTCGTAACGGACCATCCGGTGTGGTTCGTAACGGACCAGACCGGCGGGCTCGCCGGAAACTCCATTTTCGGCGAGCTCCGTCTCTTTTTTCACTTTTTTTCAATATTTTAACCTCAAATTCAATATTTTCTTACATTTTAACCATAAAAACATGAATTTAACCCATATTCATATCCTAAACATTCAAACTTTCACAAATTCAAAGTAGTTATTTATAGGAAACATGTCTAACCTTCCAGAAAATGACGGTCTCCGGTGAATCGCGGTGGCTCTGGTCTTGGTCGAAGTTGGTGAGGTCCGGGCAGTCCGTAGGCGACGTCGACGGTCGGTAGCAGATTTTTCCCTTTTTTCTCTTCTTTTTTCTCTTCTCTTCTTTCCTAAATGAGGGTATTTTTGACCCTATACATTTTGTTTATCTTTTCCCTTTTTTTTTTAATAAATAACTTGGTCAAAGGTTATTATGGAAAACACACCGGGTGGGGCAGCCATTGCCCACCATTTCCTCAGAGTGGAGAGATGATATCCGATTTTGATAGAAGTGATCAAATATATGGTTAAAAAATTGTAGAGGTCGACAAAATGATCAAATTAAATCGGATCAAACCATAATCAAATCAAATTAAAAGATATGGTTCGATTCTATTGAAAAATTAATGCTTCTGGTTCTATAATTGAGAACCATTTGATTCTAGTCCTAGTTCGATTCTAGTTCTAGAATCAAGAACCAAACACAATATTTAAATTTTAGCTCCCGTTTGATTCTCATTAAATTACATTTCATTACATTTTATTTTCTCTATCTCATTTTCAACCACATAATCTTCCATAACGTAATATTATACGTAAATCCAAAATTTTTCCTCCTTTTTCAATCACTCATTTTTCAAAAATATACTATTCCACCCATTTTCATTACCCAAAAATGGGGGCCAAACGAGGGCTTATTATTTTTTATAAATTGGTGAATCATAATTCATATAAAAAAAATTCAAAATTCAAATGAAAATCAAGATAAAAATATCATGTACCTTCGATTTCTCATTTCTTAATATGGAAACTAGAGACCCTAATTCATTTAGGGAACCTAGAGCCTAATTCATTTATCATCATTTTCAATTTATACACCACTTCTCAGATGGAGACCAAAAAATACAGTACGTTGTCTACATCGCGCTCAATCACGACTGCCACATGGATTTTTGAAATTGAAGTCTCAACCTTCGATTCTTCTTCTTCAAATGTTCTTTATCTTTTTCTCAATCAGTAGGTTCGTCCACGGAGGGTGAGTCAGGGCCTAAGATTAGACCGAAAGGCGTAGTCGATAAACAACACGTGAATATTCCTGTACTACCCCTTGTTAGTCCCGAGGGACAAAGGAGGCTAGGTTAGCCGAAAGCTGGTTATCGGTTCAAGAAAGTAAGGTGCCCCTGCTTTTTCAGGGTAAGAAGGGGTAGAGTAATGGAACTAGAACCAAACCAAACCAAACCAAATCAGAATCGAGTTGTACGGTTCCGATTTAGATCCATATCTTAAAAAACCATTGATTTATTATTCGGTTTGATTTTCTTGAAATTAGAACCAAATGGAACAATGTCTATCCCTAATGGAACCTATAAAACATGTAATTAAAATTAATTATTGAATTTCACTTAAATTATAATCTAGATTTATTTTTTCCAATCAGAGGATTTGGATAATGGATTTATGTTTGGATTTGGGTCCATTTTTTATTGTGGCATTTAAGTATGTGGAAATTACATTGCCACGGGTTTTTGTAGATTACAATTCAAAAAATAGTATTAAAGTTTGTTATATAAAAATCAGGCAATAATTTAAGATTTAATAGTATTATAAATTAATTTATATACACACAATATCTCTACTCTCTCTATCTCTTCTCTCTTTAATATTTATTATCTCCCTTAATCACTCTATCCTCTCTACCCATCCCATACCCTACAACACCGATAGAATGCAAAGGAAATCAGCAAGCATTGTTATTGAACAGCATTCGGTAGCCGAAAATTGACTAGGTTGAGGCAAAAAAACATTGTACCTTTCATGCAATGAGGAATGGTGGTGGAGTCAATGCTTAAAAGACAAAGCGAAAGGTCCTTCCAAAGAAAGTGCTTCAACACTAAGCACTTGTAGCTTATAAAAAGGGATTTTCGACCTTCGCAACCTCTTTTTAAATTGTAGCAACTGCCAAGACAATCTATTCTGATCGACAACCTCTTAGACAAATTTGAGCATCGACGATTTGTTCGTCGTTGCAGAGCCACTGTAGGCAATGCTCATGCTTTAAGTTATTTATTGAATGCATTTCGAAAGTTTGAAGAGGGAGAGAACTGCTTGTCAAAGTACGGTCTTATGTGAATCAATCTGAGGTTCTAAAACTAAAATGGCACTTACTGTAATAGGTTTGGCGACAACAATTTTATTGTGGTTTTGTGATGTTGGGTGTTGGGGTGATCTATAAATTAGGTGTTTGTGATATGTAGTCTTGTGACTTGATTTTTGATTGTGATGTTGGGGGATTTTGTAAATTGGATTTTGATTGTGATGTTAGTGTATGGGTGATCTATGATCTTGTGACCTCATTTTGGTTGTGATGTTGGGTGATTTATTGAATTGGATTTGGATCTAGCTTTTGGTCAGTGGTGGTGGTGGTGGTGGTGTCTGTGACCTATGCACGATCACCCGTTGATAAGGTACTAATGGTGGTGCCAATGGCAGTGATAGGTCACATGTACCAGTTTACATGTCACGAGTCATTGTACATGTCATAAATCAATGTTCATATGTCACAGATTAAATAACATTGGTCACAGATTACTAATTTATGTTCACGGGTTACATTACATGGGCCACCGATCATATTATATAGGTCACATATCAATATCAGCATGTCAAGGATCAAAATTTGTTGATTACATATCATATGTTATATGTCTTTGTGTATTGATAACATCTCATAGTTAATGTGTTGCAGGTCATGGATAACAGTTCACAGGTCATAGGTCATATTGCATAGATAATAGATCAATGTGCACAGGTCACAAATCCAAAAAAATAAGTCATATATCACTGCATTAATATCATAAGCAACAATTTCCAGGTTACAAATTATAGTTTACAGGTCATATGTGACAGTTCGCAATTCATAGGTCACCATTCACAATATCAAAATTAACTAATTGCATGTCATATGTTTTTGTGCGCTGATAACATCTTATATATTCAAGTTCACGATCACAATTCATGTGTTACAAATCACAAGTCACAAATCTAAGTAAACTAGTCACAAGCCATTGATTTCTCTGATCGTTGCCTTCAAAGATTATGATACAAATGCCGACAACTTCCAATTTGGGATCTCAAAGATCTGATAGTTTCATGTTCGTGAAAACCTCGCAAGCATACGGGTTCGTTGTACAAGTAATAATTGTGATAAAATAGTTATGTCCCACAGAGAATAATGTCTAATTCTAATGTATTTGATATAATTAAATTCATGCTACTAATCAAAAGTTGATTTTTTGAATAGCTAATTAAGTTTGTAACTAAAAATTGTAAAATTAATGGAAGTTTATTTTAAAATTCAAATGAGTGACCGTATTGGATTTCCGAAGCCACTGATCAACTTTTAGTTCTAATTCTCAACCAGTAATATTTATCTCAAATCATACACTTGTAACGATCGATAATTTCACTCCCATTTGTTATTATTTTTCCCAAGATATAATAAACTTATGATTACCACGAGATGATCATATTCCAAGTTCGAATTCATATGGCAAACATGTATTGACATGCTGGATTATCACATATGATTGCACATGCCACAAATATTATTCCTTACATTCATTGTCCATGTATTCCAATAAGAGTGTTCTACCTATCGTGAGTTTTTCAATACTATGAATAAGCAATTTATTGTCCTAATGGTGCGCAAACATTAAAACAATATAAATATGTATATTAATGGAATCACAACGTAAAAATTAAGATAAAAACACAAAATCTTGAATTAAAAACTAAGAATCAACCAATTTTGTCATCCATCCAGCATAAAAAAAATTAGCCTTGCATATTGATGTAAAAAATACGCGAAAAATAAAAGAAAGTCATTACCCGAATCATTAAAGTATGAACAGAATATGGAATCTTTTAATTTATGCCTTCAAATCCGAATCCAAGTGATGCAATCTTCGTTCGTCAATGTATTTCTCTCTATTTCTTCTCAAGTTCGGCTTGCAATCTGATAAAAATTAGGTTTGGACGAGTTCTCCTATCTATATGATCCCCAAAAGACTATTTACCAAAATAAAACAAGGAACCCCAAATTTTTTCGTGTTAACCTTGGGGTGCGCACCTTAATGCATTGGGGTGCCTCTCGTTTTGACCTTGAGATGCGTGCCTTGCCTGCAGCTAAGGGAACACGCCTTAGGTTGCTTTTGGGGTCAAGTTTGCAACTGGTCCTCGAACTTTCTCTAAGACCTTTTTTCGTCTTTCTTCACTCTTTTCTTGTACCATTTGCTTATTCTTCGTTCTAATAGTGCTCTTGCATCTCGAATCTTCATTTTGCATTCGTGCCCAACATTTGATGTAGAATCCCGAATTTTTAACTTAAATTCGCATATATTTTTATTTGCCATTTAATAGGAATGCAATGTTTGGTTAAGTTCTTATGCAAGTTAATTGATTATCTCTATAGTTATCTTATTAGTTGAGGGACCAAATTGAAAAAAAAAAATATCAGATTATTTTATACTTTATTAAATGGGCCAAATAGTTAACTATTGAAGGAGTTAGAATTACTCTACCAATATTGGGTTCATTTTGAAACTCATAATAAATGGCGAATTATGGACTAAAGAAAAATTTAATTTGGTCAAGTTAAACTCGAGTTTTAGCAGTCTAAAGAATATTATGGTTATAAGAGTTTTAAAGGATTAGATTTTTCGCCAGTTGACTGCCACCACTAGTNATTGTAATTGTTATGTAAACTAAAGATGTTGGTAATGAAAGGACAGCATCAGTAACACGTAAAATTATTGTCGAATGTTAATCGTCTAATTACACTAATGTCGAATGTTAATCATCTAAATACCCGGTAATGTTTATTTTGTTAAGGCATCGAATAAATGTGAAAATATCGACTAATTTATAAGGATTTCGACTACTATTAATAAGGTTAATATTTTAAGATGAAATTTTAAGACTTAATATGACATTAGAGCTTATTAAGCTCCAACTAGAAATTCGAATCGATTAATACTCAATAAATGAGTACACAAATTTCAAAATTAGTTTGCTCAAACAAGTTACAATGTTGCGAGCTTGTTAAGGAATAAAATTTCATATCGAATAAAAATGAAAACATAATCAATTTATAAGAGTTTGGACTATTCCTCTTAACAATGTTGGCCTTAAAAAAGATGAAACCTCAAGTCTATACATATTTTCTGTTTGTTCTCATTTTTCCTTTATTTTGTATTTCCACGTTGTTTACTATGTTAACGGCTATGTTCCATTAGCATTATTCTATGAACATATATGTGAGTAGATGGTGATAAGGTTCGTAGGGACAATATAAAACGTGCAATTTTCATTCATAAAGATCATGGTCTAGGGGCAAAATATCCAAGAGAAATAAGAGGATATTGTAAGGAATATCGCCCCAAACCCACTAAGCAATCGTAAAATAGTAAAAAACAAAGCAAGAACAAAAATCGAACATGCAAATTGTTCACCAAGTTCAGCCAAACACAGTCTAATCTCGGAGTTCAGAGGTAAGTTCATCACTAGCAAGAAACCTTCAAAAGAGTGTATAAACAGTTGAGAAAATCAAATTAGACCCACTACATGGTCATCGATCCCCAAGGATCTCACAATAACTCAAACCCTAACTCACAAGACAAAACAGAACCTTGCCAAGAACTCAATACAGGTTTACCAGCAACATACAAGCCTAAAACACTGTACAATACGTTATACCATCATTAGATAACTACAAAGATTATTTCAAAACTACCAAAAATCTCTAGATCTTGGAAAGGGAGAAGGACAGAGACGATAGAACAAGAGAGAGAGAAACTCTAGAGACTATTCTTCAGAAAACTGACCGACTAATTGAAAAGCCCCAAGTCTCAAAAGTCTCTGAAGGTATTAATTTTGGAAGACTAAATCTCAACCTTAAAATTAGATCAACGATCCACAATGACCAAGAGAAAGCACGACTCATGTGACCGTGTATTAGCCAATGTCCAAGAGCCAATTGTCCATAGGAGTACAAGTGGCATTTATACTTATGAGAGTGTGGTTTGACAAATAAAACTCCATAGATATTTTTTTTCTCTAGAAGATGGGAAATGCAAACGTCAAAAAATTCCTGTGGTCACTGAAAGATAGGAAATCTGTAGTTATATATATATATATTTGCAACGTGTAAAACTTCATTGAAGTGTGTGAACCAACCGTTAGAATAGTAAAATCCAGTTTCACAAAAATTTTCACCATGGCCATGGTCGCATGCCCATCTTTGAGGAATCTGCAATTCAAAGTCCATTCGTCTTCACCATTTTTTCCGTACAAAAGAAGAATTTTTCCAAATGGGCACCTGCGTATTAACAAGAAAAGCCAGCATTGTATGTTCCTCAAAAAACCCATAGTTAAAGATGGGGTTTTGAGTTTTAATGGCAGAGATGCGCTCATTGGCGTACCTGATAATGTTATAATAACGCCATGGTCGGAGTCATCTGCTTTTTTAGGTGCTACCGCCAGTGAAAGCAGCTTTCGACATGTCTTCAAACTTGGAGTTATCGAGTAAGCCATATTTTTTCTTAACGAATTCGACGAATGGTTTATTTGGGGTTATCGAATAAGCCATATTTGTGGAATACCTTGCATTTGCATCTTAAATCTTAGTGTACGACACAACTCTCACCAGAAAGTTATTTTTTTAATTTTTTTTTCATTTTGAATGATATGGTGCAGAGAAGCCAGATTGCTATGTCTGTTTAGGTTTAAAATTTGGTGGATGATACCTCGAGTAGGAAATTCTGCAATGGACATTCCTATTGAAACACAGATGTTGCTGCTGGAGGCAAGGGAAGAACAACATTCTGAAAAGGATGAAGGAAACACAGCTTATGTATTGTTCTTACCCATATTAAATGACGTCTTCAGAAGCAGCTTGCAGGGGAACTCGGCCGATGAGCTTGAAGTTTGTGTTGAAACTGGTAATATTTTTTGGAGTTTTCAAATTTTTCTGCAAACAAGCATAACTCATCTCAATATTGAATGGTACAAAGAAACAGCTAATATATATATGGAAAGAAAATCAATAAAATGTTCTCATTGACACAAACTTTTATTGAACTTATCATGAGGATTTAGTTGGAAAACTCACTTTGTTCATTCTAGTCGAAGATTGAGTTCCCATCTATACCTTTTTCTTATCTGCTTAACTGTATTTGATAAAGTTATTTATAGGCCTGTCTCAGAGAGCTTCTTGATTCTGTAGGTGATCCCAGTGTAGTCGCTTCAGAGTGTGTCAAAGCAGTTTTTGTGAACCATGGAAACAATCCTTTTCAATTGCTCAAGGAAACTATGATGTAAGTTGGCATTCCAACGTTTATATTGTTCATTTGAATGACTTTCAGAAAGGTTTTGGTCAGATCATAGTATGGAAGCAAAAACATGGACCATCACATGTGAATTATATGGCGTTGTCATCCTTTTACATGAATTATGTGCACGAACATGATTATTGACTTCGGAAAGTGCACAGGATGCTGCAAAATTATTGTGGGACATTTGAACTCAGAAATACCAAGCAGGCAACTCCACCAGAGAGTGAATTCAATCTCATTTTTGTATCAAAAAATACATGCACGTAATAATTGAGCACTTTTATTTGATGCAGATGCCTGGAATGTTAGACTATTTCGGCTGGTGCACTTGGGATGCTTTCTACCATGATGTCAATCCTCAGGGAATCAGAGATGGCCTAAAGAGGTTAATCTGGTCCCTCTTTGTATTCAATGCATTTGACTTCTGTTGATATTCCTAAAAGTTATTTGTGGTTCATAAATTATCCAAGATGTGTCTTGCAATAATATACACTAAAACTTGGACTTAAAATTTTCTTATGTTTGAATTGGTGGTACAAACGTGATTTCAGCGTTGCCATTGGGAAAGTTTATTTGATTATCAGTGTATTCTTAGCGTACATCACTTTTATTGATAATGAAGCTTATTTGATTTGCCATTGCAATCTTAGCGTACTTAACCGTCCGCAGTAAACATGCTAGTATCATGACTTTTAGAGATGTCAATGCATATGACTAGAAACTGAGGATATCATGGTATCCTCACCCACCTATAGCATTATACACACAGGACTGAGAGCTGAGACCTCAAAGAGTCCACTGTTGATTACAAGAACATTTAGACACGTTTATTCTTTCATACAATATTTCACAGACATTAGTGAATAAACAGATAGCATATGATTTAGGAACTAGAAGCATTGCGTTATGAGTCTCGAGAAGTACTTTAGAATGAGCTTTTTGTTCTTTTTTTATTTTTCAGTTTCCACACACCTTGTTCCTTTTTCATAGTCTCTCTCTCTCTCTCTCTAACTCAGCTTATCTGAAGGCGGCACTCCAGCAAGGTTTTTGATTATAGATGACGGTTGGCAGGATACAACCAATGAGTTCCAAAAAGAGGGGGAGCCTTTCGTTGAAGGGACACAGTAAGTTGACGTGTTTTCGTGTTATTTTAATTGGGAAACGCCTGTGTACCTGTTTTTTGGCTAATAGCAAAATGCAGGTTCGGTGCGAGACTGGTAAGCATAAAAGAAAACAAGAAATTTCAGGAAACAGAAAAGGTTTTAAGCAGCCAATCAAATGGTCTTAAGGAATTTGTATCGGAAGTAAAGAAAAATTTTGGTCTCAAGTATGCCCATTTCCCGCTTAATCTCTTTTTTATTGTTTTCTTTCGCTTGACTTTGTAGGCTAAATATAACAAAAGTATATATAAGATATTTATATGTTTTATTTCTTCCAGGTATGTCTATGTGTGGCATGCATTAATGGGATACTGGGGAGGGCTTCATCCAGATGCCCATGGAACTAAGAAGTATAATCCAACTTTAAAGTTCCCAATTCAATCACCAGGGAATAGGGCACATCAGAGGGATATATCTATGGATTCTATGGAGGAATATGGTGTTGGTACCATCGATCCAAACAATATATTTGAATTTTATGATGATCTACATGGATATCTTGCGTCACAGGAAGTGGACGGAGTTAAGGTTGATGTACAAAACATACTGGAAACAGTAGCTACAGGTTCAAGTGGCAGGGTCTCTCTTACTAGACATTTTCAACAGGCACTTGAAAAGTCAATAGCCAAGAACTTCCAAGACAATGGCATCATCTGTTGTATGGCCCAGAACACGGATTCTGTTTACAAGTATGTAATTCAGAAGCTCAAATTTCCTGATGATTTTCAACATACGGAGAGAATCATTAAACTCCATATTTTTGCATAAGCAGCATAGTTGCCTTTAGTAAATGAAATATGGCTCAGATTTTTGACTGGATAATAGATGTAGGAGTCAATTCCTAGGAATCACATTCGCGGCTTGATTTTTATAGTGATTCAACGACATGATTTCAGCAATATCTAGAAAGAGGGCATTTTGTTTTTGAATCTGAGTTAAAATGATTAATATTCTTACTTAAGCTTCTTGCTTTATAATTGCCTTTTTGTCCAGTTTTATATGAAACATTTATAGCTATTTTGTTCATTTCTTGCAACAGCATGAAAAGAAGTGCCATTACACGTGCATCAGATGATTATTACCCCAAGAACCCAACAACACAGACGCTGCACATAGCTGCCATAGCTTACAACAGCATATTCTTTGGTGAAGTACTCGTCCCAGATTGGGACATGTTCTATGTACGAGACGCTCTTCATGTTATGACTGCTTAAATTTCTGACAGCAATAGTCCAAAGATTAAATTTATTTTTCAACAACTTTCAGAGCTGCCACCCTGAAGCTGAATTTCATGCAGTTGCTCGAGCAGTTGGAGGCTGTGGTGTCTATGTTAGGTACACCTTTTTAACTTGGGTTATATACTCCTGAAGAGGAGAACTCTTAGAATTCTAATTTTTCCTTAAAAAGATTACATAATGAGTAGTTGTTTTCTTTGTTTTAATATCTATGAACTCTTTTAACTTCTCCTATATTGCTTGAAAACTAATTGCTAATTCTTAATAATTTTTCTTGGCAGTGATATACCTGGCCAGCATGATTTCGAGATACTTAGAAGGCTTGTGCTACCCGATGGATCTGTGTTGAGAGCAAAATATCCTGGAAAGCCATCACGTGATTGCTTATTTAGTGATCCAGTTATGGATGGGATAAGGTTTTCCTTTTACAATAAAGTCTTGTTGTGTTAGGTGTAAGGTTGTCGTGATTTTCACCCACAACTTTTATTTCTTAAATCCAAAAGCCTTTTGAAGATTTGGAATCTGAACAAAATCACTGGAGTACTAGCTGTATTCAACTGCCAAGGAGCAGGGACCTGGCCTGGAATGGAGAGTACTGTTCAATTAGATCGTATTGAGTTAGTCGGAAAGATTTCCCCAGCTGATATTGAGTATCTTGACGAAGTATCACCAAAGTCATGCACAGGAGACTTCGCAATGTTTTCCTTCAGATCAGGTTCGAAAGTTGTTGCTGTTTCCATATATTGAAACATGTTTGACTAAGCTTAAAAGTAATTTTAGTTAGTTTCAAACATTTATGTTTTTTTCTCAATTTAAAGTAGAAAGAATTACTTATTTGGAAACTTATTGTTAAACTTTTGAGGCTTAACCAAAAACGCTACAATATTTTTAAACTTTCTGCTGTTCCGAGACATCCTCAGGATCGATTTCTCGATTGCCGATGCATGGAAAGCTCGGCATTACTTTAAAAACCTTGCAATGCGACATCTTCACTGTATCTCCTATTAAGGTATCAAGTATTTCGTTAAATCTGTTTGAATCATGCACTAGAATTGCATATAAAAGATCATGATTCTCATTCTACAGTTTTACCATCAAAAAGTTCATTTCGCTCCAATTGGCTTAGTAAACATGTACAATTCTGGAGGAGCTGTTGAGGCAATTGAAGTTTCGGACGATTCCTCTTGTTATGGAGTTCAAATCAAAGGAAGAGGGGCTGGTATCTTCGGAGCATATTCCGACATAAAGCCGAATTTTTGCTCTGTGAATAACATCAGAGAGGCAGAATTTGATTACAGAAGTGAGAAGCATTTTTTGACAGTTAGCATTCCCACTGGAACAAACGCTTGGGATGTAACCGTTCATTATTGAGGTACTCACAATTTGATAATCTCTTTCATGCATACATACAATGCAATATACTTTAGCACACAAATGTGGATTTGCTGAATTTTGTGTTACTTTGCATTTGGCAATGAGCATGGTTGGTTTAACTTAGTCAAATTTTTTATGGGTAATTTTTTTGAAGAAACGTGTTTGGCTATGCTTTTAAGTAGTTTTCTTTCTTATTTCTGACAGCATAGAGGATTGGCGCATCTACTGTTACCAAGTGTGACTTCCGAATCACTTTGATAAGTTTGTAGTTTGTACCATAATACATAGTGATATGTGATTGGCCACTACACCCAAAGGGTAAAAGGTTTCAAATTCTGGTAACAATAGTGTGACATAACATTACAACTATGTTATTTCAGCGGTCCACTTTTGAAGAACAACTCCATCATTGTAACTTATATATCAGCTTGTTGAACTCTACTAAAAACTCGAGTTGTCAGAAGGAGCACATTTATGTTTCCAAATTTAGCTTTCAACACGTTTTATTATGAGAGTATGGTCAACTTATGTCAAAAGTCTAATACACGGGCAATTTTTTGAAAATTGGCGATGTTGAGATTTGAGTTATAGTCATTTTCCTATTCCCATACATTTGGGAAGTATTTATAAAGGTTTAAATGGTAAGTAGATAGAATGCATGCTAAATATTGAGTAATACTTGTAAATCTCTCCAAATATGTGGATAATAGCAATTAGGGCTAGGTGTAAATTGGGTTGGGTTTTTGTCAAGCCTAAATTCAACCTAACATGGTCAGTTTGATCTAAAATCAAATCAACTCAACCCAATTATTAATTTAAACCCAACCCAACCAAACCATCCCGACCTTACTCGACCCGACCTAAACCGATTAAGCTTGGGTTGGTCGGTTTGGACTTGTACCCATTTCAGATCCGATTATTTTTTGTTGATTTTGAAATTTTAAACCACTTGAAATTATCTATTATTTTTAATCTATCTAAGAAATTCTTTTTGAAAATTAATTTATAAATAAATTTGAACCTATGAAACATTTTCATTTTATAATTTTTTTAAAAATTTATTCATTTCATTATCATGTCTTTAATTTTTAATTTATCGTCAAATTATTTTGCATTTGTACATAGTATTCATACCAATCAACCTATATAAAAAGGGGGAACGGTTGTACGTTCTAAATTTTTCTCTGTCTCCAGTATTGTGTCTATTTAGATTTATCCATTATATGTATTAAATGTTTTAATTTATCGAATTGAGTTGGTTGGGTCTCGAGCTCAAATTTATTTTTTTGACTCGTCCAAATCCAATTGAACTTAAAAACCAACCCAAATCGATCGGTTTGGGTTAGGTTGGGTTGGCTGGTTTAAACTATTTAAATTGATTTTTGTCCAACTATAGTGGCAAATAGAAAGCGAAGATAAACAAGTTGAGCTCAAAAAATCCTGTGTGAGTAGCTCTTTAGCTCACACAGGCCATAGAGTGAGTCTTTAAAGGGCTCGCCATAGGTGTGCCAAAGTAACCACCTAGCATATATCGTCATAAATTGTAGGGTTTCTCAAAATTCACTTAAAAGATACCATGACAAAATTACATACATTGTAACCAAAAATTACATATTTGAAGCCACACTCTGATCTTGAATATTGGACCCCCCAAATGTTCAATAATTGTGTAATTAATCTCCCTCACTCGTTTTAGACATGATAAAGAATATGAATTATCAAAATTATTTACTATTATTAAACCTATATTAACCGGATACTAACTAGACTTGTATTACACTAGTAATGCTAATTAATTATTATGATCACATTTGATTATGAATTGCATTATTCATTTACTATGGGTAATTAACACAAAACGTCATTATCTTTTAATGTTATTGTGCAAAACATCTATACCTTTCATTTTTTTGGCACTTTTACCCTTGCCTTCATATTTTATTGCGAAAATCATCATTTTCATCAAATTTCTCGTGTCAAATGACAAATATTCCCCATATTTAAAGAAAATAATAAAAAGGAAAAGTCAAAAAATAAATTGCAATCATACTCCAAAACTTTTTAAGAAGTGCAAATAAGTTCAAATAAATTATTAAAAGGGTAATTAGCACAAAACGTTTCTATCTTTTATTATTATTTTGAAAAACATTTATACCTTTCATTTTTGATAATTTCACCCTTATTTCATAATTCATTGTGAAAATCGTTATTTTTATTCATTTCTCTATTAAAAGTTGTAAAATGACAAATATACACTCCTCTTTAAATAAAGAACAAATTATAACTACATTTCCAAAAATAGACGTGCAAGGTAAACTGCACCTGCAAGTTGAAGCAAGTTTCTAGCCGACCTTTCGATAACCAGAAATTGACTTTCTGATTTATTTTAAAAAATCTAGATTATAATGTTGATTGATGTGATCATTTAACCCTTCGTTTTCGTTTAATGCATATTGGGTAGGGAAGTACTCGACATAGTATAATGAACACTATTATAGCTTCTTTTTCTTCCTTGATATTGTAGTGCTATCTAATCTTCCTTACCTATCATACTATTAGCAGAAGGGAAATGGTAATACTCCTCTTAATTGGCAAGATCATATTATTGGAGAAAGGAACAACCAACAATGATGTACAGAATTATCTTCCAAAAGTACTATTCATAATCCATTTGGATCATACAGTTAACAATCTGTTGATGAGTTGGGTATCCATGGGCCATGACCCTGAAGTAGTATCTCCTCGATTTCTTCAGCAGGATGCCGATTGTTACTGAAAGCTACCTTACGTCCCATGAAAGTCCTATAGGATTGTCTTCACCTATAGGAAAGAAACAAGTGCTAAACATGGATGGATTCAACGGATGCACCTCCCATTCCATGTGGGGGTGAATCTAATATTAATATACGTACCCCAGATTTGCACGTGTTACAAGATAATTCCCGTGGAATTACTGGGTATGGTGTAAAAAATGTAATTGTTTAGTCAAACCCTGATCTGTTCGAAAGAGAAGAAATACGGTAGAGTTTACTTCTCTCAAGCTATATGTTAAAGCTGCCAATGTTTAAATTAAAGTTAAGATCGTATTTCTTTCACTGTATTCTGTTCACACACCGTTTTCATCCACGATAGAGTGGTTTTTCAATTTAAAAAAAAAAAAAAAAAAAAAAAGGCCCATCAGACTTTTATTCATAATAACCCTCACTTAAGGCGGAGGAAAACCGTAATAACAACCGAATAATTAATAAAACTAACGAATAGACTAAGCTCCTATCAATATAATCAAACAATAGAAAATAGCCTATTTTTTTCTGACGAATGTACAACACACCCACCCTATCTAAGCGGATCAACCCTCGACAAAATCTTGGTAGTTCCATAAATGACAAGAACCGTTCCGTCTTAGATAGGGTGATGCACGATGTGAAAGTCAAAATTCTGGAGAATTTCTATTAAATCTTCCCAAAAATCCCACAAGTACCATAACATACATTTCCTTGTCAAAATCCAAGAGACCACCAACAATGAATCACATTCAAGAATCACGATAGAGTGATTCTTGAACTACGTTAGTATCGCTCAGATTGCTGCATTTTCTGGAGCCTAATCATATTGTATATTTGTCCTTCTGTTACAGATCGAAAGACGTGTCGCTTTGTAATCTTCTTCTTTGAAAATTTCATTACTGTTTGGTTGAACACAGTTAAACTTGGAATGATTTGGCCGGCGTTCTCAGAGAGAGTTTATTTTAAATTTCTAAAACTGAATTCTGAATTAATCAATGAATATTAAAATCTCTCCTTTGTGATAATTACTAGTTTACCGCTCATAATTAATGTAAAATATTGATATTTGAAGAGTTAATTGTTCATATGGTCACTGAACTTAGGTCAATGTATTTGATTGATCACTGAAATTTAAAATGTCGAGTTTTGGTCACTGAACTTAGGTCTATGTTTTCGATTATTCACTGAAATTTAAAATGACGAGTTTTGGCCACTGAACTTCGAAAAATGTTGTACACTACTTACTAAATTTTGAAAAATACTGTACATTACTTACTGTAAATTCGATATTTTTCAAAGTTCAACAGTTATATTAGTAAGTAACGTAAGACATATTTCAAAGTTCAATGATCAAAACTCGACATTTTAAATTTCAATGAACAATCGAAGGATTGGACCTAAGTTCAGTGAGTAATTGAAAACATGAACCTAAACTTAAATTCAGTGATCAAAACTCAATATTTTAAATTTTAGTGATCAATAAAAAATATGGACTTAAATTCAGTAATTATTAAAACAATTAACTCATATTTGAACGTCACCGTAAAATTTACAACTATCACTGCCATTTCATTTTCACGGTAAACCTGCTTTTGATGCGAACAAGACACCCTATTGGCTACAAATTTTCCAAGAACACACATCACAACCAAAGAAGAAAAAGACAAAATTCAAAAATACTTTTCATAGTAACAAAGCGAGTGCCGGAATATAACCCTAGAAGATTCCGAGGCCGGTAGGCAGCTTCGTCATTTTCTATACAATTTGGCTTGACCTGACCGCGGGCAGATTTTTATTTTATTCAAATACGGCGTAAATGACTGTATTTTCCCATCGTATACGTAATAAAATATCCCAATAATAATGGATTGGTTGACTTGAGCCTGACCAATCACAGTCCTTGCCCTTATGTGACTGGCCGGTTTGCATTAACGTCTCAAAATGAAACGCAATTTATTACAGTACGATATACATACCAAAGACACATGTATTAATAGATTGTCAAGATTTATTAATCATCGATAGATCAAATCACAATAGTTTTTGAAATTTATTTTTTGTTTCGTTTTAATCACCTTGTTATTACTTATAGAATAATACTATTTGCAGTCGCTCACTGCGACAGTCGCCTTATGTGGCATACACATGGCATGTGGTTATTTGATGCATTAATGAATAAAAAACTACCACATTAATGCATCAAATAACCACCTGTCATGTGTATGTCACGTAGGACAATTGTCGCAGTAAGCGATTGCGAATAACATTACTCTTACTTATAACATTGAAGACTTTCATGTCGAAATTATGTCCAATTGACAGACTGTCACGCCAATATTTTACTGAAAAAAGAAAAACTCAAATTTTGAGCCATTTTCTCGTAGGTTGAGCACGACTCATATATTTTTCACATCCCGTGTCATTTGTGAAAGAAGCCCAGGCCAATCCACGTGTTATGTTTAAATGTTAATTAATGGATCAAATTAAACAAATCATTTATAAAAGAAGCCCGGACAAATCCATGTGTTATGCTTGAATGAATTTTGATTACTAGATCAAATTGAAAGAAATAACGGGTGTGGGTGTGGGTGTGGGTGTCGAGTAGGTAGCATAGTTTTTAACCCCGCGTGGGCTCTTGGGTTCACAATGTCGCAGTCTGAATCAGAGATAATCCTGGTTAAAGCAAAAGATTCTGTGACTCCATTTCCTTCTTGACTGCCCAAATTATATACTTACACATACATACGTATTATTATACCAAATGAACAAATAGTTTTTTGCTCTCAGCCCTCTTTTCTTCCCAAAACATATGCATGCTCAAACCCAATTTAATTTAACATCTAGTTTTTAATTTAAGAGGGTTTTGTTTAGCTTTGGAAAAGAAGTTATAGTTTTTTAGTTAGTTTGGTCTGGATTTGTAGTGTTTAAAGCAAGTCAAGAATTTGGAGGATTGCGGCTGGAATTTCATAGATCTGGGTACTGTTTTGCTTTTCTTCTTTTTTTTCGAAATACTAATTTGCTCACAATTTTAAGGAATAATTTTTCCTTTGCGCTTTTGGGAGTTGGTCAACTCTTATTTGAGTTTCGAACTTTGAATTCGTGCAAATTAATTTTTCAAAAAGAAGTGATCAGTTTATTTATAATCTCTGGAACGTCTGTTGTGTGAATTTATTGGTGCTTAATTTTAAAATCTTGTATGAACGAGTGGTTCTGTAATCTATTGACGAATTTTACTGTCTTTATTTCTTATTGTCTTAAAATTTTTATTTTTTCTCGTTTCAGTTAATTGCAATACACGCAGAGAGATGTATATTTGCAGTCGTTATTGTGTAATTTCTTGAGAGTCTAAATTTTAAAAGATGAAATTTAAAATTCTTCTCATCTGCCTGGGCACGAATTATTATATACCAAATTTTATATTTATTCATTTTGATGAGTGAATATTTCAGTAACATAATCAATTCTGTGTAGTACAACTTGACTATTCTCCTGCTGATCTTATAAATTTGGACCTTAACTTCACTGCCATCCCGTTTGTATGCAAAGCACCTGCTATAGGCAGTAATCTTGGAGCACTACATAATTAAATGAAAAGATTAAAGAGAATCTGATTTGTACTCATATTTGTTTTGAAATTGATAGTTGATGGTTTCTTGTGGTTGATGTACATAGGTATCTTGGCGTGCTTATGTAGAAAGCACCTGTTTTTCAGTGATAATGAACGTATATACTACAGTATGTTTTGCTATTATAGGTAATTTGCGGGGATAAGTAGTTCACCTATATCCCACTCAGTTCATGAAATAGGAACCTTAGTACCTTACTGGAGATACTACTGAAGCTCACAACTGACTGGAAATATTTTAAGCAACTTAGGTGCATTTTGTATAAGGCTTCAAATATTCACTATTTTGCAAGAAAGATTCATTAGAAGTTATGATTTTGTGCACATTTAAAGCCTCCTGTGGAATGTACATATTGCTTCAGGGCACCAATTCTTTTGCACTAAATTTTTACATTAAAGATTGGGTGGATCTATATAATATCAAATAATATCTGGGCTCAGTAGACTTAGAGTGGCTACTTTCTATACACTTGCTTTGACCCTGCACCATCACCACCACACATATTCTTAGTTAACGAAAACGATGGTTCAGCCATTGGCTTGGTATCTAATTATCATGACCACCAAACTGATTCCTATTATGTGGTCTGATGCCACCCTCTCTTGTATTCCTAAGGTTTTCTTTCTATCTCACAACCCTTCATTACATTTTTATATAGATATCCAAATTTTCCAGGGTGGTATACTTTTGATGTTTTTGACTTCTGGAATCCTGTCTACAGATTAATGAAATATGTATCAACCCAAGGGCGTTCCTACCTCAAGCTTAGTACATAGCAATCCATTAGTTCGAAATCAGCCATTAGACTCTGGTGCCAGCACAATGGATCCCATCAGTTCAGGTAACAATGCCAACAACAATCCTAATCTGGCTTCTAAGCAGCGGCTTCGTTGGACACATGATCTTCATGACCGGTTTGTTGACGCCGTAGCTCAACTTGGTGGACCAGATCGTGAGTCATCTTGCCTTTCATTTAGCCAACTCCCCCAAGCTCCCCTGATAGATGATAGATAGACAAATTGTCATTTTAGCTTTAAGTATTATACGTTGGCTTTCATGTTGACTTTCAAATATTTTTTTAATCGACTCGTTTCATGTTCTGAATAATATATTAGTGGGTTGATTTTTGAGCTTCAGCTGGGCACTTCATGCATCAGCATGGGAAAGTTGTAAGATTTTACTTTCCAATTTCAGGTGCTACTCCAAAAGGTGTTCTCAGAGTTATGGGGGTTCAGGGGCTAACAATTTATCATGTCAAAAGCCATTTGCAGGTATTTATTTCATGATATTCCATTCAAAATGCCAGCCTATTTTGTCTGCTCGCTAACTTGGCTGACTGTTGCACACAGAAATATAGACTTGCCAAGTATCTTCCAGATTCTTCATCTGATGGTATGTACTTCACAAATGATGCAGATATTACAGTATTATTACCATGCTTGAATTTTCCAAAATATGCTGAAATTTCAAGGATATCTTGTAGTAAATGCTCCTTGGGCACATTTTGTTTTGAATTTTATATAGGGGGAAAAGCTGAAAAGAAGGAATCTGGAGATATGCTTTCCAGTTTGGACGATTCATCGTAAGTATATTACTCTCTCTTTTTGTTATTCATTTCCTTTTTATGATCATTTCATGGATTTGTATGAGTCAGCCTTTCAATATGAAACAACATTCTTTCATTTTGTTTACAGCGGAATGCAAATCAATGAAGCAATTAAGCTGCAAATGGAGGTCCAAAAGCGTCTACACGAACAACTGGAGGTACAATTCTGACCCCTTCTACCTGGGGACTATTTTCCCCTGCTTTCCACATGCAAGTTTCTTGATATATCAGTTACTTGTTCAAGGATCAATTGATATACTGGCAGGTTGACATACTTGATGCATTTGTATTATACTCGAAAACATGACTCCTATGCTTCAAACATGTTGCCTATTTGCCCTAACAAAGTAGCGAAGTTTTGCTATATTTAATCATGAAAATATTCATAGAAAAGTTTGATAATCCACATTGCATTCTTTCTCCATCTTACGAGGATTCCATGCAAACATTCCAGCCAGTGGTGATTTACATTAATCGCCAGATTTCTCCTGGTATCAAACAGCTTTGCTGTATTGGTAAAAGTTCATCTCTTAAGAGAGCAGGTTTTAATTTTTAGTGGCTTTTGAATTATAGAGGAATTGGTGTACTATTGCAATAAAATTTGAGGAATTGGTGTACTATTGCAATAAAATGTATATCACCAAATTGTTATGAAATACTGGGTCATACGAGAAAGTGGCATCCACTGATCTCTCTCCAAAATTCAGAAATGGGATGAGAAAATTCATTTCATTTTTTTTTCCAAGACCCAGTTTTCTTCATTTTCTATTTGCTAGAAATAGTAAGATATAGATGGTTCCATGAAACTTTGCTGTCAATCTTTCTCCACGGGGAAAAGACAAGTAAAAGAGAGATACAAAACCCTACTGATTCAATTGAAAAGGACTTGAATCTTTGGTCTTGAAACTATATTGATGAACCACAGGTTCAAAGACAACTACAGTTAAGAATAGAGGCCCAAGGGAAGTATTTAAAGAAGATAATTGAAGAACAACAAAGAATAAGTGGAGCTCTTCCAGAAGTGCCTGGTTCTGGGGTCACAGCTCATGCAACAGAGGATACTTGCCGCGAATCAGATAACAAGAGTCACCCAGCAACCCCTGCTCCAACATCCGAGTCTCCCCATCTGGACAGGTCTGCCAAAGAACGTGCAATAGTAAAGAGCCTTTCTCTAGACGAATCTTTCTCCTATCATCAGGAGCCTCTGACCCCGGATTCTGGTTGTCATGTAAACTCATCAATTGATAGCCCTCGTGATAGACCTGGAAAAAAACAAAGACCGAGCACCGATGCAGCTTCCAGTAAACAAGAAATGGCGCTTTCACATTCAATATTCAACTCGAGCTTGAGTCCTAGTTTCCAGCAGCCACATTCAGTTTTCCTATCAGGAGAGCAGTTTGATCATTCATCAGGAATGTCGGTTGCCAATGAACTGTTGGGAAAAGTTTCAGGTGGCAATATATAATTCATCGCAATGTATGTTGCATTTCTGGGCTACATATAGTTTCTGAAATACACGTAGTATCGTAGATCATGAAGTGTACCAGTGCGCAGATATGATAATGTAGTAGTTTTTTCTGGATTTGCTTGAACTCTTCCATTGTAATTGTAAGGATTAAGTGGCTATATTCCTGATCTCTGACGCTAAACATCTGGCAGTTTGATGCATCCGGGTGGATTGCACTTGGAAATTTATGTCTTGGGTAGATTTCGGAACTGAATGCACTGCGTTTGATATGCTAGACATAACAATGAGATTGTATTGGTGAAATGTTGAACTAATGTACGAACAACTATAACAATAAAAGTATAAATTGAGTGATTTAGTTACTGTAAATTGAACTTGAATAATCTAATTAAAATAAGCACAAAGTTCGTTGCCAATACGTTTATGATAGTGTTGATTTTATACAAATAAGAGAGGTTCAAGATCAAGAAATTGGACAGAATAGGATAGTTCTCATTTGAAAACTAAATTAAAATGTTTAGGCATCGTTTGATTCAACAAAATTTTCCCTAGAAAATGGAATTTAGATTTCAACTTTCACAAAGAGGGTGTTTGATAGCTTATATTTACCATGTAATTGAATTTCTTAGATTTCTTGGAAATTGTATTTTTTCTTGTTTTCAAGGAATTTGAATTCTCACCATATAATTTGAATTCTCACCAATATGGTGAGAATTCAAATTCTAGTCTACTGTAGATTTTTTTTTTTTTTTTTTGGTGGCAATGGAAGCTAATTCTAAAAATTATTGTAAAAAAATATTTCCCTTTAATTGATAATTTCATGTAAAATAAAGCCAAACGAATACCAAAAGATAGATGATTTTCTTGAATTTTTTTTTTTTTATGTTGACAATTGAAACAAATTTCATTCTCAATACCAGTAAAATATATCTTTTTAATTGACAATTTTCATGTAAAACAAAGTTAAACGAACACTAAAAAATACTTTTATATTAACATTTTTCATGTAGAAAATTATACCAATCAAAAACAATAATTTACAATTCCCAGACAATTCAATTCCCGGAAAACTGTTTTCAATTCAATTCAAATTCAAATTCATCTTTACAATCAAACGGACGCTAATATTTCAAGACAAGTTCAGCATTGTGTTGATTACTTTAATCGTAAGTAGCATGACCAAAGCTGGTAGATATCGATTTTTTTTTTTTTTTTTTTTGGGTATTTGAAATATTTTCAATGATGTGTGACTATTTAATTGTAACATGATAAATAATTTTTAGAGTTAATTTTTCACCACCCAATAAAACCCGAACGACAACATAAGATAGTACCCAACAATAACGTACAAAATAACGAATAATGAATATATTTTATTCGTATTAATAATGTTGAATTTGTTTTATTAAATATGTCATTGTATGTATTGGTCTTAGAAAAATATTTGTTGTATATCATCATTTACATAATTTTTTATAGATTGATGAAGTGTATAAAAGAAAGTGGATGATTTTTTTTTATTTGGTCGTTAAAATTTTGACTCAATTAAATTTCGATTATTTTACATGTTTACTTGGATACAATGCAATGAATCTTATGTCCACCCCATGACACCACATCTCTTGCCCTGGCCACTCCAACCCAACCCAACTCAACCCAACCCAACCCACTAGAAAATGTAAAATCACATCAAAGCAAAAGATATTCAATGCCTCCAATACTGAAATGGACACAAATTAGTCCAATTATTTAATTTTAGCTTCTCCAAAAATAATTTACCAAAATCAAAAGAAAAAACCCACCCTTGGACTCGTACAGATCCAATTTCAGGCTTCGTAGAATTGAGATATTTCGGAACAGATTGCTGGTATAAAATTTAACCGGAAATCAGAGATCTGTTCGGTTGGATTCTCACGATTTCACAATCGCTATCATTTGCAAGAATTTATTTTTTATTGGAATTTTTATTTTTTGGGAAAAAAGGGGCTGTTGAAATTCGAAGGTCAGCATCAAAGTTCTCATCTTTTTTCACTTGAAATTTTGTTTCGTTATTTTCTATTTTCTATTTTGTAATTCATGTCCTATGCGTTTTCAGTATGTTGACCTCTGTCGGGCTAGGGTTCGTTCTGTTTATAACAATAGCTTTTTCATGTCATGTAATAATTCGTTTTCCTTTTTCAGTTCTATGGGGTGGACTATATTTCGGGCTTAAAAATAATAATCTTTATTTTTTGTCATTTGAAATTCGAATACTGTGTTTTTTTAAAATTTTGTATCTTTTAATAATGCTAAATTACTCGGATATCTTGATAAACGTGTTAATTTCTTGTGTTATATGTATGGGACTCGAAAAAAATTTGTAATTCAAATATCAAAGTTTCAATTTTTTCACACTTTATGATTGTGTTGGTTCTATAATCAAATCACAATGTCTCATTTTGGTAATTATTTTTTGTTATATTGCTTTTGGTGCAGCTACCAGTCAGTGGAGTTGAAAGATAAAAATAAGTGTCCTATCAAGAGGAAGAAATGGAGTATGCTGATGGCAATTATGAAATGGAGGAAGTTGATGAGGATATGTATTTTGCTGGTCGAATGATGGGAGACTCAGAGACTGATGAAGATGATGAGAATGAATATGAAAATTTGGTCTGTTTAATCTATGATTAAATACATCCTCGTGTAACATTTAAATGCATGAACATTACTATTAACTGTGGACATTGCTATTTTTAAGCTTTTTGTCATATGGTTTTTGCTATCTTTGAGATGATTTAACTGAATTATGGAAATAGGACAACAAGATAACAGACACTTCTGCTTCCGAGGCAAGGAGAGGGAAAGATATTCAAGGAATTCCATGGGAGAGACTAAGCATTTCCCGTGAAAAGTATAGGCAGACAAGACTACAGCAGTATAAGAATTATGAGAATATACCCCTTTCTGGAGAGGGTTCACTGAAGGTAACTATCAGTTTCAACTCAAACTGCAAAGATGATAATTTTGATTCCAGATTACAGATAGTTATTAATTTATTGCTCTACATTGGATTTTTCAGGAATGCAAACCAACAAGGAAAGGTGGAGAGTACTATGAGTTCCGACAGAACACAAGATCTGTGAAATCTACCATCCTTCATTTTCAAGTAAATCATATGTTTTCTTTGAGATTTTCTTTGGATCCTTTCAAGCTTCAAATTGATCTGTTAATTTCGTACTCTTGCTTGTAATGTTGGAGATATAGTAGCATTTCTGCCTGTGTGCATGCAATTTTAGATTTATTACCTTGAACTTTGGTTATGTGTATGTATAAGACCAAAGAGTTGTATATCTGTGACTGTGTGTTATGGCATAGTGCAGAAAGAACGGATTTGCTATAATCTGATGAAACATTTAAGTTATGATATATGAGAATTGTGTGCTTGATAATTATGTTAAAGGTATTTACTCCTAAAATTTTGGTTTAAGCTTGGTTTTCTTAAGGTGTGTAACCATGGATCTAATATTATGAGTTTACATGTAACGTTATTCTATACCCTTCTCTCTACCATTGCAAGAGCTCGAAGCCAAATATATAAACGTATATATTATTTTAATCCTTTTTTGTGAGTGTGGGGCAGCTACTGCAGAAATTCATGTCTCTTATGACATGTAATAGCCATATTTCCTTCATTGACAATTTTCGAGAAATCTTTGAAAATTTTGATGGAAAATATAATCTGGAGCAGATCTCAATGTTTTAACAAGGAACTTCTCATATTAAGTCAAGTTAGAATTTCATGCTGTCGCACTTCCCAATACTAACTCTCTTTCAGACCTTTCCGTCCAATTAATTTGATATGCTGTGCAATGATGCAAATTGAAAAACTTGCTAACGTTACATAAGATAATGAAGAGTCTTGTGGATTTTAGATGTTATTTTGCCCTTGTTTGAGCAACATTTTCCAATAATACAGTTTTTTCCACACTCATTTTCAACCACATATTTACCAAAAATTCACTATTCCAAAATCTATTTTTACCAAATATTGGGACTCAAACAAGGGCTTAGTGAAGTCTAGTCTTCAGTCCAATTTGTATGCTAGTGCAAATATTTCTTTTGGTCTCTTGAGCAAGTATATATAATACTTCCTAACATGTGTGAGAGCATCTTTTTTGGTTATTTGGATAGAACTCTTTCTCATCAACCTATTGTTTCACATTGCAGTTGAGGAACTTGGTTTGGTCTACGTCAAAGCATGATGTTTACCTCATGTCACATTATGTAATAACGCATTGGTCTTCATTGGCATCCAAGAGGACTGAAGTTCTTAATGTTTCTGGGCATGTTGCTCCACGCGAGGTGCATATTTCTTACTAGGATTGGGTTTTTGAAAATTCTTGTCTATGATTTTGATATTTCCTTTCTGGTAATTAAGAATTCTGGAATTTTAATCATTGGGCGTCTTTTCTGTGTCTCGTAGAAACATCCTGGAAGTTTACTGGAAGGATTTACTCAGACTCAAATTAGTACTCTAGCAGTGCGTGACAATTTGTTGATTGCTGGGGGATTCCAGGGAGAGCTCATATGCAAGGTAGTTCATTCTTTTGATGTGTGTATAACATATGCGGGAAGGCATTTAACTTCATACCTGCATTAGAGAACTTGCTGTTTCCGATTGCCAATAGGTCCTTTCGTTCTCTTTTATTCTCTTGTTCAAAAGACAGTTATTCTGTTTAGTGGTTGTGCTGTAGCATGTCGAGTATGAGACATTTAGAAGTAAAAAACATTAAACCCCGCTGGAAATGGTGAAGATATTCATTGAGCACTGACTTAAGTAATTTTTCCATGTTGATGCAGGATCTAGACCGGCCTGGCGTGAGCTTTTGTACCAGGATAACTTATGAGGATAATGCAATTACCAATGCAATTGATATCTATAACAGTCCAAGGTGATCTGCATTCTTCTTTACGATACCAAATTAAACTCCCTGTCTACTCTTTGGGGATTTTTGAGATATACTTTGTTACTTATTCTGATTCTTGTTACATTTAAATCATCACCAGTGGCGCTGTTCATTTCACGGCTTCAAATAATGACTGCGGAGTTCGAGACTTTGACATGGAGAGGTTTCAGCTTGTTAAGCACTTTTCTTATCCTTGGCCTGTAAATGTAAGTTTTGTTCCTCAAAAAACTTTATTCCCATTATGGGCATGGCAATAGAAATCAACTTCCAACATGTTCTCCACACAGTCTGTAAATGTTCTCCGCAGATGGTGACACTAGGTTCCTATATCTATATGAGCCAGGGGTTTGAGCTCTGACCAATAGTATAATGCATGAGCTAAATTGTAGTATTTAATGGCTTATTAACCTGCTCATTTAAAAATGATTACTATGTCCTGATTGGCTAATATTGATCCATGAATATGTAGATATGTTAGAAAAAATAGCACATTTTCTCTACAGCATACGTTGTGGCAAAGTGCTCCTACAAGTTGAACTAATATGCTTTATATATAAAGAATTGGTTGGCAATTTTATGTTGTTTCGTTCATTAAAGTAAGGTGCATATTAAGGCAACTTTTCTCTGTTACAGCACACCTCTTTGAACCCGGATGGTAAACTCATTATTATAGTTGGAGACAATCCTGATGGGATGCTTGTGGATTCTCAAACTGGGAAGGTAATTTGTTCTGTTATATCTAGTTTCTAGATTTAATATGTTGGCAGTGGGATGGAATTGATGTAGATTTTACGGACCAAATTATCAAGGTATTCTTTTGCTACATTGTGATTTGTTTTAGACTGTCATGCCCCTACACGGACACTTGGATTTTTCTTTTGCTTCTGCATGGCATCCGGATGGTCACTTGTTTGCCACTGGGAACCAAGACAAGACTTGCCGTGTATGGGATGCTCGAAACTTGTCAAAGTCTGTCGCTGTTCTCAAAGGAAATCTGGGAGCCATTCGATCAATCCGTTTTACATCTGATGGGAAATTTATGGCGATGGCTGAACCAGCCGATTTTGTCCACGTCTATGATGTGAAGAATGGTTACGAGAAAGAGCAGGAGATTGATTTTTTTGGCGAGATCTCTGGAGTCTCTTTCAGTCCTGATACAGAATCCCTCTTCATTGGGGTGTGGGATCGCACTTATGGTAGCCTTCTTCAGTACAACCGTTGCCGGAATTATTCGTATATGGATTGTCTAATGTGATCATTTGGGACATGCATGCTTATTCTTGGATAAGAAACTTCTGCATGGATTCGCATTACATGTTCAAGAAAGGTGGCAGGATCATGGATCGGTTTGGTATCAACTCTTGCGTTGTCAAATAATGCTGACTAGTGTAGCAGAGAAGTGAATTAGCAGCTGGGGTGCTTTTCGAGTGGGGCCATTGATGAACAATTGTCTACCTCCTAGGGAAAACATGGCCGTGGACGTGCCATTTTCTTGAAGGCATCATGTTTATATGGACTTTTTCTGCAGTTAGTGAGAACGAATTGCTGGCTATCGGCATCGGTTTGGAACGCGTGAAGATTATGATATGGAGCTATTTTCACCCTTAAATTGGCTTTTATTACATCAATATCTACATTTATGCATCAACCATAATCAAAGCATTATTTTAAGCACAAATTATGCGCCCTTTATGCATATAAGCAGCAGTGCCATGGTAAAGGGATTGAGTGGTGCCACTAGCTGCAGCCACCGGCTGCAAACCCAATTCTTGAATTGGAAATATCATAAAGAATATCAAAGGTTTGCTGTTGATGATTCCCAATAATGGCCATATTGGAATTACTTGCGAAGGCCAAACAAGTAGTGCCCTCTGAAACTTTTGTGAGCATGTTTCGGGGAGCAAGATTAAGCTCACCACCTGTTTGAAAAATTAACTGAACCAGAGGCACAATTGTTGATATGGATTCCAAACTTCCTTCAAAACAGGCATCAAAAGGGGAATAGGCTCTTGTCATCTGATATTTGGAAGATATGATCTGCACCATTTCCTCCCTCAATGCTGTGTATATGGGCACTGCCAGACGTGATATGACTCTGCCTGAGTCGATGAATGTAGGCACGTTGTACTCCGATGATGGCACATTTAGTGGCTTGCCAGATACTGTGATTGCTGATAGCTTCAGAAAGTACAAGCCAGGAAACCGAGAATCTGTCAACATTGGAGTGAACTTATAAGTCGTCGAAGTAGTAGTCCCAATGGATGGGAACCCTCCACTGCCAGTTTGGCCATCGGTTGTTGGGAGACAATAAGAGAACGCCTTTCCATATTTGGTGGACAATTGGGAAAACATTGACAGTTCGTTTCGTGCTAAGCCAAACAGACCTGCCGATTGACCGAATAGGCCTTCGTTATCCTGTCCACATCCGAACACAAAATCAGCTAGTGCTGGCTCCGAGGACGCTGTCAGGCTTAGTGAATCTTGACCAAGGTACCCTTTAGAGTAAGATTTATCACCATAGCTGGTTACGTACATGCATGTATTGGAAGAAGAACAGTGGGGACTGTTGAGAGTTGCTTCTCTGAGGGAAGAACATTGGCTTGTGTCACATGATAGGGATTTGTACGTTGTAGAACTCGAGGGATCAAAATGGGATCCGACCTGTGGGTGGCAATACACCTCGCAGGGCTCGCATTGGATCCAGGAGAAGGAGCTACCCGTGTCGATAACCACGGGATAGAAACTTGGTGGAGTCCCCAAGCCCACTTTCGTGTAGTAATTTAAAACGCCAATGGGCACCCCGGGGTTTAGAGGAACTGTAACAGCTTCTGGATCAACTAAATGTCCTGATTCTCGAGCTGCTGTCTGGTTATTCTTTATAAGCTTGGAATTGAGAGATTTAACACGAGCTTCGTCCAATGCAAGTGCCTCGGAAAAGGACAGGGGAGGCTCAGAATTCTCAAGTGAGTGCCTTCCTTGCATATGAAACAAAGGCAGGTGTAAAGCTGGATATTTGAGATGTTGGCCATCAACTTCTGCACAAAAAAAATTGGGAAAAAAAATATTCAGAGAAAGCATCGATATAAAAACGTGTTGTAAACTGGTCGTAAGCTGATAATCATAGAAAGAACATGCCTTGAGCTACTCTAATTGACGATGTTCTTGCAAGCAAGAGAGTGAAAAACAGAAGAAAAAGCATTCCCATTGCTTCGAACTCCTTGAAAGTTCTCTTATTTTCAGCCTTTGAACATACTAGTTGAGGGAATCACTTCCCAAACCTTTTATAAGGATAGTAGGGTGTACTCAACTGAGATTTTAAGTGCGTTTAATTGTCCTCAATTAAGAGTAGGTGTTCCCAATTGTGATTTTAATGAATTACAATGAAATTCTTTAAAATTTTGGTTTCTTCAATAACTCGTGAATTTATAAGGGTTTCAATACTAAAGAAATTTCAAATAAAGACCCCGCTTAATGAGTTTCTTATGGATTCTATGAAAATCTATTCAAAATCAAGAAATTCAATAAAATTTATAATATTTTAAAATCCATCAAAATCTTAGTTGGTGTCGATTCTATGAAAATCTATTCAAAATCAAGAAATTCAATAAATTTTATAATATTTTAAAATTCATTAAAATTTTAGTTGATGACACCCTAAAATATGTTGTCGATAAGATAAGAGTGCAGCATGATTAACCTCTATGTTGTCCATAAAGTTTCAAATTGATTCGTGAGGTTCTCCTTACAGACCTCAATGACAACTAGTGGATTAAAGTGATTTGTCCTCCATTAATCCAAATTAGGGACCCTCATCGTTTATTTCACCAAGAAAAATATTCGTTGGTTAAGATATAGATAGATTATCTTCTGCTATACGGATAACAACCTAAGAGGTCATTTCAAATTGACTTGTGAGGTTCTGTTTACATGCCTTAAACTAGACGAAAACCACAGTGAGTTGTCCTCCTCAATGTCCAAATTAAAGGGCCCATTACATTCTTTCACACCTAGGATTCATATCCTCCGACATGAAGGATAGGATTTCAAAATGTACATGTTAGTCATTTCCAAGTCCCGTAGAGGAGAAAGGTTACAGTTTCAAAATGTACATGTTAGTCATTTCCAATGTAAAAATTTGTCTAAACTTGCTCCGTCAATCCTAGTACAAATATTGTTAATGGATTGCTAATATTTGAGGTCTATAATTCAGCCATACCTATAAATTTCCCTAGTTTTCGTCCCCCATTTGTCACAAATTCTAATAAAATATCTGCAAATTTCTTTCTTAATTACTTTGCTAGCAGAATTTGTGCAGAATCAAGAGAAACCCGAAAGCCATGGTAGGATAACTGGAAAAAGAAAATCATTTATTTCTTCCATTACTAAAAGAATAAGTTTCAAGTAGAAAAATAAAAAGAAAAAACTCAATTAGGAACTCTTGATGCTAAGAGTTCAATGAGTGGATTAAATTCCTCTATGTTTCACTCTTGCTGCGCTTGACTATTATTACTCCCGTGTAATTGGATCAAAGCACCCCTTAGGCTGCACTCTTTCACCTGAAAATGTTGAACAATAATTTAAGGTCATATTTTTGAAAGACTGTGATCATAATATTCTGCTGCAGTTCCCTTCTTTGTTTTCTTTTTGACATTTTCTTCATCAATTGTGTTTATTATGAAAAAGAACTTCGATGCAAAGAGGTAAAATGAAAGAGTAAACAATATTTAGAGGAAATAAATGAAAAACTGTTGCGTACAATATTTAGAAAACATGAGTTTGAACATTAAGCCGTGTGTGCTATTTGTTGAATCATAGATAGACATACCTGTGCTGTATATTCCTTGGATAATAAGTCCCCACATTCCTCAATAAGGGCTCTTTCTCCACTGACAACCCGAGCTAGTTCAGAAATTGAGGTATCCACTTCTTCAGCCTGCATTTACCATGCAGCATTTATCGGATTTTTGCAAATTTACACGCCCGTCCGGCCAACAGTGAACCAAAAAAGAATTCAAAAATATTCTATACAGTATGATTTCCTCCACAATTTCGGCATTCTATGGTGTGTTTTAACATGAGTATGTCATTTTGTCTTACCTTTGGCATAAATCTCTGGACATGGGAACCTATCAGTTCCATCACCTTTACAGCTGAGTTAAAAGCCTCTTGTAAGTCTTTCACTTCAACCTGGAAAAGGTTACCCCATGGTTCACAGTTCCCTACATGATGTAGCGAATATAGATGGAAATTTATGCACTTTTAATTAGCAGAATAAATCTCACCTGGACTTCCCCACTGACTGGAACTCTTAGTGAGGAATTGAGCAAAGCATCTGATATGCCTGATAAAGAAATTGAGTAATCCTCTTCCAAAGCAGACCACGCATCCAGATATGGCATCTATAATATACGAAAAGTACATGAGCAACACAGACAAAAGAATAAGATCGTGTGAGCAAAAAGAGTTCTCAAAATGACCGAATTTGCACTTCTATAGGTGTAAAAACCATTAAGAAGAAAGACAACAAATGCAACAAAAAAGATTTCTCATTTTTTTTTTTTAGTTTGTTGACCATTTCATCTCTCTTTTTAATAAGGCGTTCATTTTTCGAAAATGATTGATAATTGTAATGTCTTATTACTGGCAGAAACAGCAGCAAAATAATGAAGTGAATCAAAAGGAATATCAACCATGTTATTTGACACCTTGGATAACCAATTGATATTACGGCATTGTGAGAAGATCTTTCCAGGTACAAAGTCGGCAGTGCTTATACATATAATTGAAAATTGATCTAGAATTTAGTAGGACATCAAGGAAAGCTCTTAAAAAGTGAACTTCGTGGCTGCCATCTAGAATAGAAACATGTATGTACAAAATATTTCATTTCAATAAATGCAACTGTGACCAGACAAATTTTCTATGCCTTTGACATAATAGTCAGAACATTAGATAGAAATAAACTCAAAGAGCGATCAAGCCTTACTTGAGCTTCAACAATCATGGATAAAGTCTTAATTCCTTGCAGTATCCCAAGTTCACTGCGCTTCTTTTTCACATCATCACGTAAACTGGATATCTTACTTCCCAGAGAGTAAAGTTTTATCTGCACATAAATGAAATAACATGATTAATAATTCAATCATAGACTAATAACAAGGAGCAAGTCCTTTATCCATTTTGTAAAATTAAAGTGACAATTTGAAAAGAAGAACGGAAACACACCTCAGCTTCCCTTTTTTGAGCATTAACAGTAGCCTCTGCTTTTGCATTCACAAATTGCCACTGCAGATAATGGTTGCAAAGCATCTTTAGAGAATGTACATCTTCTTGATGATTAGAGACCTTCCTTCCTTTCCTCGCGTCAACTCCCAGTCTCACACATGACGATGGGTGTGGAGGCAGGCAGAGATTTCCGGCCATCTTTACAGAAGACGAAAAATTCAATGAACGAGCGCAATCACTAGAGACTTTACCAGCATTGCAAGAACTCCTCTCAGCAAGCCATTTATCCACATCTGGCACAGAAGAGCGCGTCTCAGGAAGATTCCGGGACTTGGTAGTCTGCAAAAACAGAGGAGAATTGGGGCACGAAGAACTACCCTGACTACTAGCAGCACTGCAAGAATCCGAGTCATCATATCTAGATGTCGAAATTCTAGAAAGCTTTTTGTCCACGGTTTCTCTGTAATTGTTGTTACCAGAAGTTGCTTCTTGCAATAGCCTTGTGGCAGCCGTAACAGCCGAGCATCCATTACTACTATTCATCTGATTGCCACGACTTACACTATGCGGAGTATGCCTATACCTCGATGGGACAATCCGATCGGTTCCAATGGCAATCGGCGTGTCCGGCCTCGAAGAAATCTTAACACCCGAAGCCGCCTGCTGCTGTTGATTTTGTTCCCCAATTTCCTTAAAATGCCTCAACCGCTGTTGCTGCTGTTTCTTTTGAACAGTAGATACACTATTTGTTCCTAAAGATTTATTTTGGGAAACAGTGTGGGGTGGAATGAGCGGGGTGTCTAAGCTACGTGTGGTTTCCGGTACTTGATTCTCGTCGCGTGATGATTGCCTGCGGTGGACGGATTTGGATCGCGGATTTCCAGAAGGCGTAGGAGTTGGGGTTGCGCTGGATTGAACCAAAGGTGACATGAATCGTGAACTGACTTCCCGCACCCTCGGCCGCCGTTGGGGTAGCGGCGGAACTCCAACTTCCGCCGATGGATCGGCTGCACTTGTGGCTGTCGATTCTGTCATTTATCTTCCACTTCGCCCGAAGAGATTAATCCAATCCGACAAAGATTAATGATAATTAATTTGTATAGACGGAATTCGAAGGCCGACGGGGAGAGTGGAAAAAGGTAGCGAGGGGGAGTTTCGTGTAAAGAAACGTGAATTAAGAAAAAAAAAAGACTGAAATTCTAGCCGTTATGAGTTTTAAATATGTACAAGGATGGGACGGATAACGGATCCTTTTCTCGGGTAGAAAGTGGGATGACTGATGGGCAAGACTTGAAATTTACGTCCGGCTCCGGGTTAATTATCAATTTAACCGATCTACGATTATAACATTTCCAAGAGGCGGCGATCCTTCATTTTAACATTTTGGTCTGAACTCTTATAGTTAATAAATATCTTTTAATTGAAATATTTTGTTACTACTTGCTGATGTTCTTTTTGACATTTCATTTTCCTTTACCCAGGGTTCAAGTAGGCGAGGCCCGCGAGTGTTGGGACGAAAATGGAGTGGAGAGGTCGAGATAGAGCTGAGAATTTTGTCGTCCCTATACAAGTCGCTTGGCTCCCTCGCCAAGTCATTGACGAGTTGGGCTAGACGTGAGGGAGCATATAAATGACACTCGAGCCAAAACTAAACATTTACTAAAAAGTAGGCATTGCATTTCTCGTTTTTATTAATAAAAACAAGAAGATCGAAAATAGTTAATTGGATAAAAAAACAAAGGTTTTAAACTTGAAGCAAAATCAGGAATGATATATAATAGATTATTACTAGGATTTTAATCCATATAGATATAGAATTCAATTGAACTTGTACAACTCAATAAATCTCATTCGCCAGTATTGAGCAGTTCACACCATGTACTGAAACTAGGTAGTTCTGCTTGAAAGTGAAGCGAGTTCAACCCTATTTTGACCTACTGTTTCTATACTGAATCATAGTGCTTACAATGGTATAAAGGAATAATCCTAAAGACAAAGATAGATGTCCACATTTTATGGCAAATTGGTCGCCATCTCCAACTTCATTTGCCAGTTGAACATTTTTTCCATGTATGCCATTTCCACCTTATAGTACATGGCTTCAAAAATTCCCTCTTCTGGAGTCGTGGAAAAGTTCATCTGCAAAAGCATTGCACGGGCTTTTGATGAAAAAGGCAGTTTTATAAGAAAAATACAATGTGATCTATGATTTGCAAGAATAATAATGAATTGACAGAATATATTCCAGATGCCATGACATGCTAAATTAAATTGTATGCTATTAATCGCTAATCATCAAAGCAGATAGATCACTTGCCGCCTGCCGTGAGGATAGCAGTTCTTCGATAATCAGACGCCCATATTGTTAATCATTAGTCATATCATGAATTTTTATTTTTTGTAGCATATTAACTAGAAGAGCTATAGTCTATGCTCTCTATCTTACCATGCTCATCGTCCTCGCCACTTTGAGTTGTAAAGAACGGAGTGAGGTAGTTCCTATCTAGTGCTGTAAATGACGTGGTGCTGCAGGAAAGAACCCAGAGAACATAATAAAATTAAGGAACTTCAAAATGAATTCAAGTAATAGTTCAACAACAGATGGCAGTTATGGTACCTTTTGTGAAACTCTTTGAGTTTCATCTTGAATCTGTTCCCAGATGATGATGCGTCTTCATAAGAAGGAGCTATATAGCCATTGTTTTCCTCAAACCTCTGGAACCAGTAAAAAAAAAAAATTAGATAAAAAAAAAAAAAAACAATTTGATTTGTCAAATTGTGAATAATAATTTTTGACATATCACTGCTAGCAAGAGAGATCAGGGATAATGTTCATATTTTCTGTTGTTAGTTAGAACCCACACAAACTTAGGAGGAAGTAGTAAATTATATAAACTGATTCACAAATGTAACATCACCAGCATGCAGGCAGGTGGGCTATAAATTATCCACTAATATACTTACTTCACTCAATGAGTCATCATGACTATCACCGACAACTTGTAAAGCTTCTAACATGGTACCTGTTGATCCTCCTATCAGCAAGACCTGCAAAGTTCCCATACAGCCAGAAATGTCAGACATCTAATCAAAGTTGAGCTTATTCATATCTTGAATATACTGGCTGTAAGACAGCACCACATAATTATCAAACTTCCCTCAGCAATAACAAATACACAAGTTCAGTAAGAATTTAATACACATTTTCTCTTAGCAATTGTCCCTGGTCCGGTCATAAGCATTTACCTTTTAATACTTAAAGTCTTAAAATAACATTCATACTGAATCGCGTAAGTAACCAACAAGGTATATGCGTTTATTATCTGTGAAAAGAGCCAGCAATAACAGATACAAGAAAAACAGAACGACTTTAGGACCCCATGAACAAGGACATTGAAACCCAGAATCTAATAGAAGAAACCAATGCAGAAACATATTATAAGGCTAAGATCCATGCAAAGTGGAGAAAACTATCATAAAACCCAGTTATGTTCTTAAAACATTCAAATCCTTCAGGAAATTGCAAGACCATTGAATTTTTCAACGGACAACTTCTATGATGTCCTGAATCAGAAAATTTGAAAAATGTTTTTTTAATGATAAATAATGCTCTTGAATGCATATTTTTCATTTACAGGTCCTCCCAAATTTGTGGTTTATTTAGAACAAATATTTTACCTACCGTCAAAACAACTATTGCTGTGGTGGCAGTGAAAATAGTCTGACCATGCCCTTCTGGAAGATCATGAACTGATTGCAGCGCAAGAGCAAAAGCCATAGCCCCTCGAAGTCCTAATCACAGATGGCATACATGAGTTTGAACATTAAGCCATCTGTGTGTGTTTGTGTTTTGGGGAAGGAAGCAAGGGAAGGCAGATCAAAGAATGAAAAGTTTCTTATCCACTGACCACTGTACCAAAGTGCTTTCTGATGCTTCGGTGGTATTTGACGATGCACAGGCCTAAACATATTCACCAAGTAGCCACAAGAAAACACATTTGCAGCTCTTCACAAAACAAACATAAAAAGGTATAAAATTTATGCATAATCATTTTAAAACTTTGTCACCCACATGTGATAACAATCAAGCAAAAACAGAAAAATTTCACCCGGTCATTAGTATCAACTATAGGATTAGGCAGAAAATACATACCTAGCAATTCCAATGAACAACTAAGGTAATAATGGAACAAGTTAAGGACATTGTTGGTTAATTTTTGCATATCAAGGAAAACTGAATCTATATATATATAACAAGTAACTCAAGGATACAATTGAGAAAAATATAAATCCAACATGGGACCAGCTATGCTGTTCCATGGCAATATCGAATCCCATGTATATAAATCTGCATAATAAAGAGAATG